GGAGGGAAGACAGGGAGAGAGGGCGGAAGCGTGGGAGATGTGTCAGACTCGGTTGAGGACCTTTCCAACAACGGTGCTGGGGAATCCTCGGTTGAGGAAAAAGGTGGACATTTTGGAGGTTGCCTTGTTGAAGTTGGCCTCATCTGAATGTATGCGACAAGGGTGGAGGAACTGAGAGAATGGAACGGTGTCTTTACAGGAAGCAGGTTGCAAGGATATATAGTCCAGGTAGCTGTGGGAGTCGATGGGTTTATAGTAATTTTAGTGACCAGTCTATCCCCAGAAATGGAAACAGAGATGTTGAGGAAGAGAAGGGAGGAGTCAGAGATAGACCGCGTGGAAATGAAGGCAGGGTGGAAACTGTAAGCGAAAATCAATCAACTTTTCCAATTCTGTACGAGAGAGGGAAGCAGCACCGATGATATCATCGATATATCGGAGAAAGAGATGTGGGTGGCGGCTGGAAAAGGGATGGAACAAGGAATGTTCCACGTACCCCACAAAGAGATAGGCATCACTGGGGCCCATGCTGGTACCCTGGCCACCCCTCTGGCCTGAAGAAAGTGAGAGGGGTTAAAAGAGAAGTTGTTGAGGGCGAGAATGAACTTGGCCAAATGGAGGAAGGTGGTGGTGGGACGGTTCAGCCTTTGCTCCAGGAATAAGCAGAGAGCCTGGAGATCATCCTGGTGGGGAACGGACGTGTAAAGGGATTGCACATCCACGGTAAAGAGGCGGCGGCTGGAGCCTGCAAACTGGAAATTCCGAAACTGGTGTAAAGTGTCAGAGGAATCGCGGATGTAAGTGGGCAGGGACTGGATCAAGGGACAGAAAATTGAATCAAGGTAGGAAGAGATGAGTACTGTGGGGCACAAGGAGGCTGTCACAGTGTGGATGTTTGTGGATTTTTGGAAGGAGGTAGAAGTAAGCTAAGCGGGGCTGAGGGACTATCAGCTTGGAGGCAATGGCGGGGGGAGATCACCAGATGAAATGAGGTCAGTTACTGTAGTTGAAACAATGGGCCTGATGTGCCATGGTGTGGTCATGGTCCAGGGGAAGGTAGGAGGAGGTATCTGAGAGTTGACACTGAGCCTCTGCAATGTCGAGGTCAGTATGCCAGACTACAACAGCACCACCCTTATCGGCAGGCTTAATAACAAAGTCAGGGTTGGATCTAAGTGCAAGGAATGCAGTCAGTTTGGAGGGAGATAGGCTGGATTGGGTGAGGGGTGCAGAGAAATTGAGGCGACCAACGTCACGTCGACAGTTCTCAATGAACAGATTGTGTGCAGGTAACAGGCCAGAGGGAGGGATCCAGGTCGAGGGAGAGTGTTGAAACTGGGCAAAGGAGTCTGTGGGATGGGAACAGGGCTCTTGTCCAAAGAAATGGGCACAGAGACGAAGTCGGTGGAAGAGTTCGACATTGTGTCATGCCCGAAATTTGTTAAGGAGGGGACGTAGGGGAATAAAGCTGAGACCTTTGCTGAGTACAGAACGTTCAGCATCGGAAAGCGGAAGGTTAGGAGGGATGGTGAATACCTAACAGGAGGTGGGGTTGGGGGAGGGGGTGGAGTCAGAGAAAAGGGGAGGGGAGGAAGGTTCCAGAGTGCCATGGGTGTCTCTGAATTTTTGCATCTTGTGGGCCTTGATGCCTGAAAAGGAAAAGAAAAAAAGACTTCTTGTTAGAACAGCGAATGAGCCAGAGGATGGAGTGGAACTGTGGAGTGATGCAGCCCTGAACCAGCGTGTTACGATGCTGTTGGAGAAATAGGTCTATTGACCCAATCCATGCCCCTAATAATTTTATAAATCTCTCTAAGGTCAGCCCTCTGCCTCCAATGCTCTGGGAAAAATAGCCCAGCCTATTCAGCCTCTCCCTGCAGCTCAAACCTTCCAACCCTGGCAACATCCGTGTTTGTCTTTTCTGAATCCTTTCAAGTTTCACAACATCCTTCCAATAGCAGGGAGACCAGAATTGCATACTGTAGTCCAATGTCCTGTACAGCCACAACATGACCTCCCAACTCCGATACTCAAGGCACTGACCAATAAAGGCAAGCAGACCAAACGCCTTCCTCACTCTCCTATCTACCCATGACTCCACTTTCAAGGAACTATGAACCTGCATTCCAAGGTCTCTTAGCTCAGCAACACTCCCCAGGGCCTTACCATTAATTGTCTAAGTCCTGCCCTGATTTGCCTTTCCAAAATGCAACACCTCACATTTATCTAAATTAAACTCCACCTACCACTCTTCTCACCTTAAAAACATGCCCCTTAGTTTTAAAGTCCCTGACCTTAACGAAAAGACCATTGCCACTAACGTTATCCCTTCATGATTTTATAACCTCTAAGGTCACCCCTCAAATTCTTATGCTCCAGTGAAAAAGTCCCAGCTTATCCACATTCTCCTTGTAATTCAAACCCTCGATTCCTGGCAACATCTTGTAAATCTCTCCAATTTAATAATATCCTTCCTATAGCAGGGCAATCAGCACAATACTCCAAAAGTGGCCCCACCAATGTCCTGTACAACCTCAACATGACATCACAACTCCTATATTGAATACTCTGAGCAATGAAGGCAAACATGCTAAATGCCTTCTTAACCATCCTGTACAGCTATGAAGCAACCTTCAAAGAACTACATAAGTCTCTTTGTTCAACAAAACTACCCAGGGGCCTACAATTAATTGTATAAGTCTTGCCCTTGTTTGTCATACAAAAATGCAATACCTTTCATTTTTCCAAATTAAATTCCATTTAACAGTCCTCAACAGTCCTTCTGAGGAAGGGTCACCAGACCAGAAACGTTAACTCTGATCTTTTCCTCACAGATGCTGACAGACCGGCTGAGCTTTTCCAGAAACTTTGTTTTTGTTCCTGTTTTCAGTCCTCAGTCTATTGGCCCAATAGATCAAGATCCCTTTGTAATCTTAGATAACTTTCTTCACCACCAACTGTACCACCAACTTTGGTGTCATCTGCAAACTTAACTAATAATGCCTCCTATTTGCTCATTAACCTATATGGGCTCCTGATCTAGAAAAGTTTAATTTTAAAATTCTCACCCTTGTATGTTAATCCCTCCATGGCCTTGGCCCACTATCTGTAAGTCCCACCACAATCTGAAACTTCTGTGCTCCTGAAATTGTGCCCTCTTGCTGATTCTTGCAATTCCGGATTTCCTTCACTCCTCTGTTGTTTCACTAGCTGTCCAGCCTCTCGCTCAGCAAGTCCTCCATAAATCCTCTCTTCTGCTTTAAGTCACTCTTAAGTAACCTTACGTTTTTACTCAAACTTTTTGATCACCTATCCTCATGCCCCCTTATGTGATTTGCTGGCACATCTATCTGGTAACCATATCTCAATGCTGTGAAGCATGATTCGACATTTTGCCATATTAATGACACTTTATAAAATGTTGTTACAGCTGTTAGAAAGAAGCATTTTGTCTTATTTCTCCACGAGGAGAACAGGTCCATACGTGTTCTTACTCAAGTTAAGTAGATTTCCTCACAAGGCAAATCTTATTACAAATTTTTAAATTATTACTTTAGCCCTGATTACAGCCTTTAAGGGGACACAAATCAATTTATATAAAAGTCAAAACAAAAGATGCTAAGTGAATGGAAAAAAACTTGTTCTTTTTTACTTAAATTCCACTCTTCACTTCTGATTTTTCAACTGTATCTTGTTTAGTGCAGTTAATTTAAGAAATTAGTAGTCTCATTTCTCTAACACCTTTCACCACCTCAGGACATTGAAAAGTGTTCTGCAGCCAATTCAATACTTCTGAAGTGCAGCCACAGCCAGGGAGGTCCCATAAGCAGCAATCAGATAAATTGCCAGCTAATTCGTGGAGTAACAGTGTTAACTTTTCAAGTCTATTTTGACTTTTCCGAAGGACTGTCTTTCCAGATTTCTAGTATGTTCACCTGCACATCTGCCAATGTGGTATACTGCATCCGCTGTACCCGGTGTGGCTTCCTCTACATCGGGGAAACCAAGCGGAGACTCGGGGACCACTTTGCAGAACACCTACGCTCGGTTCGCAATAAACAACTGCACCTCCCAGTCGCGAACCATTTCAACTCCCCCTCCCATTCCTCAGACGACATGTCCATCCTGGGCCTCCTGCAGTGCCACAACGATGCCACCCGAAGGTTGCAGGAACAGCAACTCATATTCCGCTTGGGAACCCTGCAGCCCAATGGTATCAACGTGGATTTCACAAGCTTCAAAATCTCCCCTCCCCCTACCGCATCCCAAAACCAGTCCAGCTCGTCCCTGCCTCCCTAACCTGTTCTTCCTTCCACCTATCCCCTCCTCCCACCTCAAGCCGCACCTCCATCTCCGACCGACCAACCTCATCCCGCCCCCTTGACCTGTCCGTCCTCCCTGGACTGACCTATCCCCTTCCTAACTCCCTACCTACACTCACCTTTACTGGCTCCATCCCCGCCTCTTCGACCTGTTTGTTTCCTCTCCACCTATCCTCTCCGCCTCTCACTCTCTCCCTATTTATTTCAAAACCCCCTTCCCCTCCCCCTTTTCTGATGAAGGGTCTAGGCGCGAAACGTAAAAAAAGCCTCTCTGCTCCTATGATGCTGCTTGGCCTGCTGTGTTCATCCAGCCCTGCACCTTGTTGTCTCTTATATATTTGACGGTTTTTGGTGTTGTTGGTTACGGGCTAAAATTTTCACCAGGACACCAGGAGAATTCCCATAATCTTCTTTAAACAGTGCCCTATCTACAAAAACACAGGCAGCATTTAGTTTTAATGCGTCATCTGAAAGTCAGTGATTCTGTCAGCACAGCCCTTCCTCAGTATTGCTTCTGGGAGTGCCACAGCTTAGATTTTCTGCCCAAAACTCTGGACTGGAACTTGAACCCACAACTTTCTGCGCAGAGGCGAGGGTGCTATTCAATGAACCAAGGCTACACCTTATTTAAATTAAATGCGAAATAAAGGAACTAGAATCTACAAGTAGATATTATACCTGGATCTTTAAGTTTAACGGCCATCTCATGAATAGTTTCCACCTCTTCCTCCTGTGGCGCATGTATTACCATAACAGTAGAGCCAATGATACTTAGAAAACAACCAAGCTTGCCGTGGAGGTTAAGTCTCTCATTCAGAAAGTAAGATGACAGGACAGCACTATGGAAACAGAACGCCAACATATAAAGGAAAGTAAATATTATGTCTGAAGTAAATTCAAAAACAACATGTAGCCGGTTACTTGATCACAATTAAAGCTCAAGAATTGTTCAGTACTAAAACCCAAGTGCCACAGGACAGGAGACACCAACAAAAAAAAACCCTGTCCATTCCTTGCCTACTTTCATGCTGTTGTAGAGTTCATTATAGCTTTGGCAGATGACAGATAGCACATTCTATAAATATTGAAATAAGGTGCAGGAGAGGAAAATTTTGTTTTTCCCATGACTGATGCACACAAATATGATCTCACCAAGGTAGAAAAAAAACTTGTTTGCACCTATAACCAGATGCCTTTTAACTGCATCTCAATACTTAATTGAGCTAATTAACAGTTTCACCCTGACCTGGTACAGTCAGTCTACAGACAACTGTCAAGCAAATTTTCACTTGCTATGGATACTGTGTGCACATGGTCCAACATGCATTAAAATACACTAAAATCCATCAACAATTAATATGCTTTTAAGTCCTGTTCGTACTCCAGAACCACGGACATATCCAGCCTGGGTGTGCGTGGATCAGCATCTAGACTGCTCCCAGATGCCAATTTGCTAGATGTCTCTGCAGAGATGAGCTATAATTTGTGCCCTGTTTTGAAGGAGACCCAAAACTGCCAGAGAGAAACTATATGAAAATGTTCTAAGGTGTAATTTCATATTGTATTGATTAGGGTTATATTTTATACTTAGATTTGTTGCTCTTTTCTTCTGATGTGCAGCAACAATATTCTTACCTTACGAGAACACTAAGAGCTCCCAATGGAGTCACTAGAGTCGCTGGAGCAAAGGCATATGCAGCAAAGTTAGCAGCCTCTCCAGCACCCACTGCAAGGAGACAAAGAAACCAATTAAAATTCTTGATATCTTTTAAGCTTAACTTTAAGTTCGTTAACATGAAACACATTACAATTTAACAAAACCACAATGAATAGCTGCAAAATTTGCAGTTGGCCTCAAATATTTCATCCTGTTTAGCTTGTGCAGCCTGCCAAGGGTTTTTAAAAACCTTTCTAAATGGACAGACGTATATAACACTGGGTGGGTACAAAGCAGAACTGGTATGTCCTTAAAAGAAAGATTTATACTTTTGTAGCATTTTCATGGCGACCAGATGTCTCAAAGCTTCTACAGCCAATACAGTACTGTATCTTTAAAGTGTGTTTTCCTTGTGATGAAACAAAGGCGGGATCTAATTTGTGCAAACACCCAAACAGCAATGTGATGATAACCAGAGTATCTATCTTTTGCACTCTGGGACTATGGTGACTTTACCTCTTGCGATATTGGAGGAATAAATATTGGCAAAGGCACCAGGAATAACTCCCCTGTCCGTCTTTGAAATCGTACACACCATCCAAGCAGACTGACAGGGCATGGTTTAAACATCTCATTCAATAGGTAGCACCTCCATCAAACAGCCTTGATTGTTAGGCCCTAGTGCTGGGCTTGAAACCAGAACCTAGTGACTCATGGGCCGAATCAAAATAGCAAAGTACAAAATCCGCATTTAGCTTGAAATTATTTAATCCTACACAGCGAGGAGAGTATTAAACGTAATTTTCTAACATAGCACAACTTTTTGTTTACAATCAAAAATTACAGCAATTAAGTTCAAACAATACTTAGTGAGCAATCATTTAGCCAAGATTTGATTAGAATTCAGGTAAGACTGGAACATTTTCCATGTCTAACACAATTGTTAAAGCTGCATTACAAATAGCCACAATGTACAGCATTAGCTCTATTTATTAAAATAGTTTCAAGTTGATATAAAACAGTTACGTAAATAGCTGGTTAAATAGCAACCAATTTCATTGAATTATAGAATCCCGATACTGTGGAATCAGGCCATTTGGCCCATCATGTCCACACTGACCCTCCAAAGCACATTTCACACAGACGCAACCCCCTACCCTATCCTTGTAACCCTTCATTTCCCATGACTAATCCACCCAGCTTGCACATTCCTGGCCACTATGGACAATTTAGCATGGCCAAACCACCTAACCTGCACATCTTGTGGGAGGAAACCGGAACACCCGGAGGAAACCCATCCAGGCATGGGGAGAACGTGCAAACTCCACACAGACAGTTGTTCAAGACTGGAATCAAACCTGGGCCCCTGGTGCTATGAGGCAGCAGTGCTAATCACCGAGTCACCGTGCCACCCTTTAACCCAAGGCATTTCCTAGATAGCAGCCATTGCTTTTAAGTTAAATGACCTGAGTGTAGTTGTACCGATATTACATCTTTGCTGAGTAATTCAGGATTAGAAAAGGGAGAATCATGCAAAGCTCTTGTTCATGATCATAATCCAACAACATTGAGAAGACATGTGTGGAAAACTCAAGGCAGGGACAGAATCAGGCTCAGCTCAGATTCCCATGATAACCAACTGACAAATTCCACTTAAGAACAGGTGTTTGGCACAGTACTGGAGGCTGTCTAAGGAATATTTCAGTAATAAGAATATAACAAATCCACCAGTAGACCATTTGGACCCTACAGCCTGTTGACATTTAGTAAGATCATGGCTGATGTTCTACCTCTGATATAATCTCCTACACACCATAATATCCCTCAATTCCCTTAGTACCAAAGTCTGTTGATGTCAGACTTGAACACACAATGGTGGAGCATCTACCCTCCTATACAACACAACATTCCAAAGATTCACAGATTGAAGACATTTTCCTCAGCTCAGTCCTAAAAGTCAACATACCCACATTCCGCACTCCCTAAGTGGAGGAAAATACTGTTCTTGCATCAATTCCGTCAAGCGGTATCTCAATTTATAGATTTTAATGAGATCATGTCTCACTAGGGAATGATCGATCTCTCCTCTTGGGATAATCCCTTCATTCCAGGAAAATGCCTAGTGAACCTCAACTGTAATTCCTCCAAGTTCATTGTATTATACTTTAAATAAGATGACAGCTTCCCACCTCCCTATGCAATTGCAGTAAGACTTTCTTACTCCACTCCCTTTGTAATAGAGGTTTAAAATACCATAAGCTTTCCTAACTGCCATTATACCTGCATGTTAGCTTTCCGTGATTCATACACAAAGGCACTCAGATTCAGTTGAAAATCATTTCCCATGTTGTCACTTCTAAAAATATATTTTTCCTTTTGTCAAAGTGAATAACTTCACATTTCTGCACATTATATTCTGTTGTTCTTGCCCACTGACTTCTATCAAAAAGATTTTTGTTGTCCCTTTGCACCCTCCTCACTGCTTACTCTCACATCCAAGTTTGAGAAATTAATGGTTTCATGAAAAAAATGTTAAGGTAGAAAGAGAGAGCCGAGTCCATTAATCAGAGAACTCACATTGCTCTAATACTTACTTGACAATAGTCCAGCCCACCATAGCCACTCTTTGAGATATGCATGCCCTCCCTGACCTGTGGTTCACAGAAGAAAAAAAATTGTACAGAAATAATTAACTAATCAACAATAATTCCCGTATAGAAATACATTTCTACGAATAAGCAGGCACAGCTTATGGGGCAGTGTACATTATTTGAAAGTAGCCACGTGTTTACAATGTCTCATTCTTCTTCTTGTTTCTTATTTCCAATGCACTGATCAAAAGGTAAGGTTTTTATTTATTAACACTGACAAGACCACATTTAACATAACTACCCTGAGATGGCAGTGCAGGAATAGAGAATCAAAACAACTTCATTTCACATATTAGAATCTTATTAGTGGATTTAGTTTGTAAACAAAATCTCACCTGCTCGCATTGACCCTTTTTTGGCCAGTCGAAGGAGACCTTTCTTTTTCAAGATGAAACTCCCTCCAATAAATATGCTGGAGCTAATAGCTAATGCCAAGCCAACATAAAAGTCATATTTTCCTCTTTCCTGGCCCATTCTTCTTGGTACTGGCAAGGAGGAGTTTATCACATTAAGGGCCAAACACAGTTTGCTCCTCTAGGACTGAGACAAACAACAAAAGGTGATATGTGGAGCTATGATCAAAAACAAACATAATAATAGGTTAATATATTTCAAAGGCAGAACACATTAAACATTGTTCTGTGGTTTATTTAGGATTTAGTTTTGACACATACCCTCCTTCATTATAGGTAGACACTGTTATTATATGTGCAATCAGATCCTTCCAAAATACACTGCAGACTTTAAATATTCTTGTGTTAAATTCAATTAATTAACAGTGCATCGAGTACAGCAGTTGGGAGGTCATGTTGCGGCTGTACAGGACATTGGTTTGGCCAGTTTGAAGTATTGCATGCAATTCTGGTCTCCCTCCTACAGGAAGGATGTTGTGGAACTAGAAAGGGTTCAGAAAAGATTTGAGGATAGAACATAGAACATAGAACATTACAGCGCAGTACAGGCCCTTCGGCCCTCGATGTTGCGCCGACCTGTGAAACCAATCTGAAGCCCATCTAACCTAAACTATTCCATTATCATCCATATGTTTATCCAATGACCATTTAAATGCCCTTAAAGTGGGCGAGTCTACTATTTTTGCAGGCAGGGCATTCCACGCCCTTACTATTCTGAGTAAAGAACCTACCTCTGACATCTGTCCTATATCTATCACCCCTCAATTTAAAGCTATGTCCCCTCGTGCTAGCCATCACCATCCGAGGAAAAAGGCTCCCACTGTCCACCCAGGATGTTGTCAGGTTGGAAGGTTTGAGCTACGCGGAGAGGTTGAATAGGCTGGGGCTATTTCCCTGGAGTGTCGGAGGCCGAGGGGTGACCTTAGAGAGGTTTATAAATTTAAGAGGGGCATGGATAGGGTAAGTCGACAAGGTGTTTTCCCCGGGGTGGGGGAGTCCAACACTAGAAGGCATAGGTTTAAGGTGAGAGGGGAAAGACATAAAAAGGACCCAAGGGGAAGCTTGTTCACACAGAGGATGGTGCATATATGGAATGAGCTGCCAAAGGAAGTGTTAGAGGCTGATAGGATTACAACATTTAAAAAGGCATCTGGATGAGTATATGTATAGGAAAAGGTTTCAAGGGATATGGGCCAAATGCTGGCAAATAGAACTAGATTTATAAAGGACATCTGTTCGGCATGGACAAGTTGGACCGAATGGTCTGTTTCTGTGCTGCACATCTCTATGATTCTATGGATGTGAATTTCTCTGAATTGAATCAAATTTGAAAAAAGTAAATTTATTTTCAAAAGGGAACATAAATGCACATTTCCAAAGTTTTCTTGCTAGGCCGTTAATATTTGAACACAAGCCAATTGTAATGGTGACTACCATGCCATGAGTGGCCATGACCTCGATGAATTGTAAAGCAGGCTTGAAGGACCAAATGTCCCTGAAATTCATAGTGAGTTCAGCAGAATCAGAAAACCAGTTATTACTCAACTAACACATTTTTCCACTTTTCACATACTTAGGCTTACACGAGCAGAGACACAGACAGTAATATTTAATATGCAAAATATGTACAAATTCTGAATAAGGCATTATCACTTTCTTTAGCTAACAACTGTGCAGGAGGGGAATATAAAAAATGTTAAGCTACGAAGCAATTAGCAGTATGACGAAAAGGAAAGTACATTAACATGTGCTCACCAGTTCACATCTCTTGAGCGTTTTCACTTTAATAAATACCCAGAGTAAATTTAATGAGTGAGTGAATGAATGAATGAGCAAGAGACCTGAAGTCTCAACAGATTAGTAAACTGAGTTGTCTCACCACTGATGTCAAGAACAAAGAGAGAAAAAAAAAATAGATAAAAATTAAAGGTCCGACAAAAAAAACAGTATTTTTCATGTCTTACTGTAAACACCCAATCAGAACAGTGAAAAATCATATAAAACAAACTAATGCAGGTGCTGACAATCTGAAATAGAAAATATTGGAAAATACTCAGGTTTGTCTGTATCTATGGGGAAGGAAAAAAAATTGTTCAGGTCACGACCTTTCATTAGAACTGGGTAAAGTTAGAAATGGAAACAATTTTAAGTGCATAAAAAGAAGTGGGGAGGGATGTAGAGAGCACGAAAGGACTGGCAGGTGATAGGGTGGAAGACAGGAAAGATTAAATGATAAAACAGTCGAACGGGAAGGGCGAAAGGAAGTTGTAACGGAACAGGTTGAGAAACAAATGGTGCATCGAGAGGTGTGAATGCTGCACAGCTGCTGTCTCAAAGCCAAACTAAAGGAGAAATAAAAACAAAACATCTTCCATGCTACTAACTTCAGTGTTCAAAGGATTTATAGTCTGCCATTTCCACCAACTCAAAGCAATGCCCCTGCTAAACAGATTTTCTCTCAGCATTCCAAAGAAACCATTCCTCCCACAACATGGTCCACTCCTCGACCATCTCAATATCCTGCCCTTTCTTGTGGCCCTTTCTATGCAAGAACAGGAAATGTAAATTCTGCCCTTTTTCCTTTAGCCCCCTCCTCACTGCCACAGACCCCAAACATTCCATCAAGTTGAAAGCAACTTCCATGTACTTCTTTCAATTTAGCACATTATATTCAATGCTCACAACATGATCTGTTCTACATCAGAGACCAAATGAGGATCCAGCGATGGTTTTTTAGAGCATCTACGTAAAGTTCACAAATTTAATCTCAGTTAGGCACTTCAGAACCTTTCAGCCTCAACAATTCAGACCATAATTTCTTCCAAATTTACTTCCTTTTGTTTTGTAGGTTTCATTCTGTTACAACCAGGTGAATCAACTTTCTCACAGGACTCTCAACTCAGAGAAGAAACTCCTCCTCACCTCAGTCTTAATTTGACAACACATTATTTTGAGACTATGCCCTCTGGTCCTAGACTCTCCCATGAGGTGAATCATCCTCCTAACACTGACCCTGTCAAGCCCCTATATACAGCAAACTTTTTATTAACTGTCACTCATAGGACCAGGAGTGTGCCAACTGACCAAATATTCCAGTTGATCAAGAGATCCACATAATCAATGCAAAAATACACTAAGTAATAGAAACATGATTCAGCGGGTGTACATATCACAGTTATACTTTACGTACAGCATAAATCACAAATAATAATCCAACTTTGCCTGAAATAAAAGCTAGCGGCAGAATGCCTTGTCATTCACACTCTCAACTGAGTACTAAGACATCGCGGTAGATCGCAATATTTTGGGAAAAACTGACTCGAAATTGAATCAAATGTTGATATTTTGAGGCCAGTCGATTGAACAAGTATATTTACATTGAGGTCAACAAATTTAAAATCTGTAATAACGGACAGAATAACACAGCAGTAAACTTTGTGGTATTTGAGGTATATACTTTTTGTTGGTTTATCAAGTGTGCCGGTTAAAACAAAGTTTGCTGTATTTCAATCAGATCCTCTCTCATTCTTCTAAACTCCTATGAGTACAGTGCCAACCCATTTAGCCTTTGATCATAAAGGCAGGCCATTATACCAGGGATCATCCTCGTGAACCTTCTCTGAACTGCCTCCAATGAAATAATATCTTTCCTCAGATAAGGAGGCCAAAACTGCTCACAATACTCCGCATGTGTGGGGCGGCACAGTGGCTCAGTGGTTAGCACTGCTGCCTCACAGCACCAGGGACCTGGGTTCAATTCCACCCTCAGGCAACTGTGTGGAGTTTGCACATTCTCCCCGTATCTGCGTGGGTTTTCTCCGGATCCTTCGGTTTCCTCCCACGGTCCAAAAATGTGCAGGCTAAGTGGACTGGCCATGCTAAATTGCCCACGTGCAGGTTAGGTGGGTTATGGGGGATGGGTCTGTGTGGGATGCTGTGAGGGTCGGTGTAGACTTGTTGGGTCGAAGGGCCTGTTTCCACGCTGTAGGGATTCTATGTGTCTTTCTAGCAACTTGTATAGTTGCAGTATGACTTCCCCACTCTTATACTCCAACCCTCTTGAAATAAGGATCAACAGTCCATGAGCCTTCCTGATTACTTGCTGCACCTATGTGTTAGCTTTGTGTTTTGTGCACAAATAGCCCCAAGTCCTTTTGTGCTGCAGCTTTCTGCAGGTTTTCTCCCATTAAATAATACTTGAATCAAAATAATATTTAATTAACGAAATAATTGTAAGAATTGTTTTGCTCTCCCTTCCAAAAGGAACATCTACGCCATTTGCCAACTTTTTGCTGATTTACTTATCAATCTCTTTCTGTAAACTGCTTGTATCTCATTCACAGCTTGCCTTTTTTGTGTCATCTGCAAATTTAGCTATAGTACATTCGCTCCCTTCTTCCAAGTCATTAATATACATTTAAACTGTTGCGGTCCCAGTATTGAACCTGGGGGAACCCCACTGGTTACAGGTTCCCAACCTAAAAAATAACCCCTTATCTCCACTTCCTATTTCCTGACTATTAACAAATTCTCTATCCATGCAATATATCCTCCAACGCCATGGGTTCGTTGTGAGGTACCTTGTCAAACACCTTCTGGAAGTCCAAATGCAACATACCTACTGGTTTCCCTCTATCTACTCTGGTTCAGATTTCGTCAAAAAAAATCTAATAAATAAGTTAGACATGATTTCCCTTTCATTAGCCATGCTGACTCTGCTTAATACAGTTCTGATTTGCCAAATCTTCTATTAGCTTTCTTATTAATTGATTCCAATACTTTTCCAACGATTGATGCTAAGCTAATCTGTCGATTGTTACGTGGTTTTTGCCTTCTTCCAATTTTTAATAGGAGTGTCACATTGGCAGTTTTCCAATCCTCTGGCACTGCTGCAGAATTTTGGGGAATTACAACCAGCACACTATTATCTCTGTAGCTACTTGTTTTAGGATGCAACCCATCAAGGCCAGGGGACCTATCTGCCTTTAACCCCATTAAGTTTATTATTTGTAGTTATATTATTATTAGTTTATATTAGCCTGTGATTATCCTGCCCACTGGTTTTTGCATTTTTCTGTTCTTTTATTACTGTCTTTGTTTCTTTTTCCCTTGTAATCCTGCTTAGGTTTGGACACCCTTGCCATTCTAGTCCCTTCGTGCTGAAGCTTCCTGCAGTCTCTCTCCATTTAAATAACACTCAGCTATTCCATTCTTCCTGCCAAGGTGCATGACCTCATGTTTTCCCACATTATAACCCATCTGTCAAGTTTTGCCCACTTAATTAACCTGTCTACATCCCCTGTGGACTCCTTGTGCCATCCTCATTATGTGCCATCCTATCTATTTATGCCATCTGTAAATTTTGCAGTATTACATTTTCTTCCATCATCCAGCTCATTACTATACTTTGTGAATAACTGTTGACCCAGCACTAATCCTTCCATGAGTTACAGGCCACCATCCAGAAAAAGATCCCTTTATCCCAACACCATCTTCTCTGTTAGCCAATCCTCTGTCTTGCACAAAAATGATGCATAATTCCAGTAAATTAAATTTTAAAAATTACACAAAAACTTATTAAACACCAGAAATACAGAAACATTATTGATGATACAGGATAAGCCTTAAAAGTACCTCCACACTGCTGTGAAAACACATCTTTTGAAATGAATTATTATGGACTGAATAGTATTGCTCTTCTACATTTACCATTTGTCTGTTAGGTACAATTAACTAACCAAAATTTATATACAATAGTCAACTGATACCACACATCACAAACAATGATTAAGTCATTGGTACAATACCTTATGTCGTTCTTTGTTGAAAAATGCCAACATTCAGTTTCTCTTTCCAATAAATGCATTCAGTTTCCATTTACAAATGATGCACACTCTCTCTGTTGGGGAAATAAGACTCCTGTTTAATTGTAAATTGTTTACAGGGAGAAAGGAAAAGGCAGGAGTAATCATGAACAGAGTTGACTGCTCAGCTCACACTATTAGTTTCAGACAACAGCTTTGCTTTACTGCACTTATGATAATTTAAATTAACATTACAACACTTCAAACTACAAAAAACCCAATCATTTTAAAGTTTTTATAAACCAAGAGCCCTAAACCTTGCCCAACTGACTTATCCTGCACTTCGACTTAGAGATAACTAATCATGGAATATAATTTTAGTACAAATCAATCTGCCATTGTCATACTGAATGTTCATCAGAAGATCTAGTAGATATTTTACACTCGAGTGAGGGGTCAATAAACAGAGGGCACAGATTTAAAGCAATTGGCAAAGGAATCAGAGACCACCTGAGGAAAGATTTTTTCACACAATGGGTGGTTAGGATTTCAAATGCATTTTCTGATGGGGTGATGGATATAGATTGAACAGTGGTATTCAAAAGGCAAGATAAGTAGTCAAATACAACAAAAACATCAGCGATATAAGGAAGCAGCAGGACAAAGAGGCTAGCAGGGTTATGCATCAAAAGAGCAAGCACTAACTGTACAACTGGACGATGTCCTTTTGTACGTAATCATTGAGATTTCAAGAATTAACTGTAACAGATTTAACAACATGACAGCACCATCACTCGAGTAAAAAGAACCGACGGTATTAACATTAAAGTGCTTCCTATTGATTACAACTGAAAACAAAATCAACAAACAAACAATTAATAACTCTGGGATATGGGCTTTGCTGGCTGGATCAGAATTCACTGATCATTCCTAACAGCCCTCAAGAAGGTGCTGGTGAGCTGCCTTCTTGAATCATGGCAGTCCATTTGGTATAGTTACACACACAATCCCATTAGGAAGGAAGATCCTGGACTTTGAGCAAGCAACACTGAAGGAACAGCAATATATTTCTAAGTCAGGATGGTGAGTGGCTTGAAGGGAACTTGCAGGAGGTACATGTTTCCAAGTATTTGCTCTCCCTGTCATTCTACTTGGTGGTCGCTGTGAGTTTAAAAGGTGCTGTCTACAGGGTCTTGGTGAATTTCTGCAGTGCACCTTGTAGATTGCACATACTGCTGCTACAAAGTTTCAGAATAAACAGTTACATATTTGAGGCACAGATGAAGAATAACTTTCTCTGAGGTAATGAATCAATGAAATTCTTTACTGTAGGAAGCTGGGTCATTAAGTTTATTTATGGCCGAGATAGACAGACTTTTAATCAGTGACTGAATTAAGGGCTATGAGATATGATGGCAAAGTGAAATTGAGGATTATCAGATCAGCTATTTTCTCATTGAAAACCAGAGCAAATTTGAGGGGCTGAATAGCCTATTTCTGTTCTTAAATCTTATGGTCTTATTCATTGCAGAATTCTGAGAGCCTCTGTCCAGCTCTTACCAATTCCATGCATTTTTATTTGCAAGAAGTTAATTTTTCAGTGTCATTAAAGGAATAAACTGAGTTTATTGACTAAACTCTAATGTTAGCATTGTAATGTTATTCGCGTTGCAGACTTCCAGCTTCATAATTTAGAAGAACTAAGGTTGCAATCTAAGCACAATTCTTTTACGTTTCAGTTCAATTCTGTTCCAGGTAACTAGATGATTAAATATAAAAAAGTGGAATTAAAGGTTTTTGCTTGTGTAAAGAATAACTTAGAGACACATTTCTTCAACCAAAGGGTTGTGAATCTGTGGAATACCCAGCCCAGTGAAGCGGTTGAAGCCACCTCGCTGAACGTTTTTAAGGCAAGGCTAGATAAATTTTTGAACAGTAAAGGAATTAAGGGTTATGGTGAGTGGGCGAGTAAGTGGAGCTGAGTCTCTAAAAGATCAGCCATGATCTTATTAAATGGCGGGGCAGGCTCGAGGGGCCAGATGGCCTACTCCTGCTCCTAGTTCTTATAATATTCTTATGTTCTCCTAACCCAATAACTAGTTTTAGTCTGCTTCCTTAGGAGCGCAAGTGATTCTTTACTCATTCATTCTTGAGGTATGGGCTTCGCTAGCTGGACCAGCATTTATTGTCCATCACTAGTTGCTCTTGATGTAGTGGTGGTGAGCTGTATTTTTGAACTGCTGCAGTCCATTTGGTATAGATACACCCACAATGCTGTAAGGGATGCCTATTAAACCCTGCCATTAAAATAGGACTCACTGCCCAACTACAATAAACTTGACACTTACAGCATATATATTTTTCCAAACAACATTGATTTTGCCCCTGGAATTAGACTTTACCGTCATTCACCAAGGTGTCTGGGCTTACGTTCACATCTCTTATTACAGGTGAGTTGTGCCCAGCTTTAACTAAGATATAAGAACAATCAGTGCACAATGTTCAGCACCATTCGTGACAACTCTGATAATAAAATTAGGCCTGTTTTCTCCAGAATTTAGAAGCTGAAGGAGTGAACTGATCAAAGTCTTCAAGATATTAACAGTAAAAAGGTAAACATTAACAGTAACATGTAAAGATAAAGGACTTCCACTGGTTAGACATTCTAGAACTAGGGGACATAGTCTAAAAATTAGGGCCAGACCGTTCAGGTGTTGGGAAGCACTTCTACCCACAAACTGTGGTAGCGGTTGGAACACTCAAACAGCAGCCGATGTTAGATTAATTGTCAATTTTAAATCCAAACTTTCTGAGCAGCAGATAAAATAAGTAATATGGGCCAACAGCAGGTATGTGGAGCTAGAGCACAGGTCAGCCATGATCTCATTGCATGGTGAAACAGGCTTGAATAGCCTATTGTTGTTCCTATATGTTGCAGCAACTCATCAAGACTCCTTCAGCTGCACCTTCCAAACCTGCAATTACTATCACTTTGAAGCCACGGGCAACAGACGCACGGAAATACCAGAACCTGCAAGATCCCTTTTAATCCACGCATCAGCCAGACCTGGAACCATTATCATTACTCCTTCACCATTTCTAGGTCAAAATCCTCAATCTCCCTCCTGAACAGCACTCCAAATATCCCTACAGCACATAGACTGTGACAAATCAAGTTGATGATTCACAACTACCTGCTCAACGGTGACTACGGATAGTAAATGAATGCTGGCCAAAACAATGACACCAATGTCCTATGAAATACTGAATTTTTAAAAAGGCTGGGTACTGAATGCCTATGATATACACAATGGAGCATGCAGTATTTAATCCCCTTCTGTGGTTTCCACCTTTTCTGTTTTCTGACTCCACTGGCTTCAGATGAAGCCCAATATAATTTTACTCTACTTTAACTTTATGTAAGCCATGGTCGTGTTGCCCAGCCCATTTCATACTTATTTACCAGAACTTTGCAAATGCTTTGACAACAGAATTACAGAAATGTACAATACAGGAGTCCATTTACCCACTATGTTTAAGCCAGTCAAAAAGGAGCTATCTAACCTAATCCCACATTGCATATCCTGGCTCACAGCCTTGAAGTTTATGGAACTTGAAGTACACGTGTAACTACTTTTAAAAATACCATGGGGTGTCTGTCACCACTACCCTCTTTCAGACAGTGGGTTGTTGTTTATAAGAAAAATTAACATTTTAATTTAAAAAATGATTTACTTCCACATTATATTCCTTATAGGTAAAGTGACAAAAATATACAGTAGCAGCAAAATAAACATCAAGGTATATGGTTCTCATACCTTGGATCAAGATGAAGATAGCTTCAGCTTTTCCTCTTTTCACACTCTGATGATTCTATAAATGACACGTGTCCCAGTCATCTGTCTGCCTCGCTCTACCTTCCCTCAATACCCCTACCCCGCTGCACTTATAGCATTTGGAGCTTGTTGATTAGGCCTTTATATAAACATACTTTTTGCACTGGCTCTGCCATATAGTGAGTTATTAACTATGGCTTTTTTTTTTTTTTACAATGCATTAGAACCCATTCACAGTTCAGCAAGCAATAATCTTCTGCCTTTTGTAATAAACAATGCAATATTCCGCAGAAATCAATGCCAACTCATGTAAATAAATTTTGAATAAATATGCATCAACAACCATTTTAGATTCCTAAAAGATATCTAAACACAGTTTTTCATTTAAATATACGCATTTACTCTTCATTCTCCAATTCACAGTATTTTAATGAACTATCAACAAAAGCAGAGTCCTAAAGAAAAATATAGAGGGTTGTCAAAACATTAGGCTATTATCCAAATGACTGCTCCCCTTGCCATGTTATTAGTGCTTTGGAACACTTTCAGATTGTTTTCCTTCAAGGTAATTTTGCTATTATTTCAAAAGCAGCCTTTTGTTAATACAACTATCACCTCATGTTTTGGAGTAACAGCATGAGGAAAGGCCACAGTACTGATGAGGCAATCACCAGTATTTCTAAGTACATGCAAAATCTAGTTGGGCTTTATTGTAGCAGACAGCCTTTGCGAGGGACTACTACCCTGAAGCTCAGTAGAAGTGGATACAGACAAAGATGCTGAAGCAAATACCTTTTACCTTCCTTATTTTGATCTGAGAGTTTGTCCAAAGATCTGCTCATGAGGAACTTTGCATCTGAACTGCAAGCAGTAGGCCCACTGAGAATTTGATGCCCAGCCTGTCCTGTTCACCTGCATGACACACTGAGCCAGCATAGACTCCAGGTGACCACTGTTCCAACCAGTCTCATTTATACCACTAAGTGAAGCTCTCAGCAGGAGACCCCCTCTGTCAGCAATGACAACAGTCTCAAAGTAAGAGCAACATAAATGCTTAGACGTCTTTTGAAGCATGTTGCTGCATGTTCAAACAGAACATATTGCAGTGGTTGAAGAAATCAGAAGCCATCTACCAGGAACACGCAGTCTCTCAAATAACCAAAATACTTATTATGTGCAGCATTGTCCAGGATGCAATTTGAAATTTGCAATCATAGCCATCCTGGCACTGTTCAGGCACGTTTATCAACCCACATCTTAT